TGGCATAGGCGCTGCCCTGGTCCCGGCCCTCGGCGAAGCTGTGCACCACCTGCTTGGTGTCTGTCCGCTTCCAGATGAGGTTGAGCTGCTCCAGGCTGAAGCCGGGGTCAGGGGAGAAGGAGCAGCGCAGGGTGGCGTCAGTGCCCACTAGGGCCACCACAGGGTCTTCAGGGACCTGGACCTCCAAGGCGGTGCCTGAGGGTGGAGTTGGTGGGTGGGGCGGTGAGGAGGGACCAGGACACTTCCAGCCTCCCTAGTCCCGCCTCTCTTTTTGGGTTAACTCCAAGCCCCATCGAAGCGTCCTTTAAAGCCTGAGACCTAAATTAACTTTTTTGGCTGCTATCCTCATTCAATCAACACAAATACAGTAAGCATCTACTATTTGCCAATTCTAAGAGTTAGGAACGCAACAGAGAATAAGACCAAAGTCACACTCCTACAAACCTGACATTTTAATGGGAGAGAGAGACAGACTAGCACACAAATTCTCATTAAGATGTTATTAGGGGTAGGAAGGAAGAAAAGAAACCAATGGATTAGAAAGTAAGGTGGTAGCTTTTCAAAAACCTGGCAGACACTTTATACCTATCTACACTGGCTGCATATTCCCATAAGTATATACAGTATTATCTTTATAAATTGGAAAGGGGAGTCTAAAAAAGTATACACCAAAATTTAATAATGGTTTTCTCTAGATGCGAAAGGATCACAAGTGCTTTTTTTCTTAAATAAACATGATTAGTTTTTATACAAGAAAGAAAGGATACCCATACCTTTAGGTATGATAGTAAGGCACATTCTTAGAGCTTTAAGCTAAGATTTAAAGAAAATGAAAAAGAGCCTGACATACAAAGAGCCAGTGTAAGAGTTCCAGGTAGAAGGAACAGCAGGTGAGAAGGCTCTGAGCCCAGACCCAGCTTGCTATGTGGCAAGTATCCTGAAGCTGTCAGTGTGGCTGAAGCACCTGGATGGGAGAGCTTTGTGACACAGGTAAGGATGGTAGGGTTTTCTACAGCAATGAGAAGTCATTTGGGGGGTTTTAATCAGGCATAATCTGCGTAACGATGCTTAAAACTCACTCTGCCTCTTTTGGAGGATGGAGTAGGAGGCTATTTCAGTGGTCCTTGGAAGAAGTAATGATGGCTTAGCTTCAGAGGGTGGCAGTGGCCATGGAGAGAATGGGACAGATTCAAGGTTTATTTAGGAGGGAGAGTGGACATAACTTGCTGATGAATTCGAGGTGAGGGGAACACTGGAGCATGGATCCCAGCAGCCTGGGTCACCTCCATCCCCAGGGACAGCGCCTGGGCATAGCCAAGTCAGCCCCCCCACTCCACCCCCATGGCAGGTTCCTCTGCCCACCCTGCCCTCCATCCTGTGGATTTACCCTGCAGCCTCCTCACCCTGTCACCTCTGGCTCCATTCCAGCTCTTGTTCCAGAGCCCTGGAAAGTAAGGCAGGGGTTCCCAATAGTCTTTCTTTTAGAGAGGCATGCCTCCTACCCTGGCACTGCCATTCCTGGGTAACGGTTAAATTAAGTGTGTGGTTTGGGCACCAGCAAAGCAGGCACACTCAAAAGTGTGAAGATCAGGGCCGGCGCGTTAAGAGTTAGCTTGGGACGCCAGCTCTGAGCAGCAGGACCCTGGTTCGGATCCCACATGAGGGCCAGTGACGCTATGCCCTCTACAGCTAAGATGGTGAACAACAGCTCAACCTGGAGCTGGGCTGCCTTGAGTCGCCAGCGATGGTGTAGGCTGCAGCCCCTGCTGCAGTAAGCTGCCATGAGCTGCTGTGAGTGGCCATCCAGAGGCCAGCGACCAATCTGCCTAACCCGGGAAGAGAGCAATGATAATACCAACATGGGCCAATGAAGCAACGTCCTCCACAACTAGACTGAAGAACAAAAGGACAGCAACTTGTCTGCTCCCCTTCCCCGATTCCCCAACGCTGTTCCCCTCCCCCAGTTCCCCAATAAAACCTTTAAAAAAAAAAAAGGTTTGTGAAGATAAAACAGTCTTGACACAAAACTTACTGAATATAGCACCTATAAAGGTTTCTTCCATTTAGAAAAATAACATTTTATGGTGGTATTTTTATTGTAAATCACACACAGAGAGCGGGTATCATAATCTTTGTAGCGCATAGAGATCTCTAAAGATCTTAAGTTGGCCCTGGATCTCTCGCTGAAACCCAAAACTTCCAATTGGAGACCAGCTAGACTAGGGCGCCCCTTTTAGGGGGCATTTGGGGGAGGAAACCTGAGATGGGTAGAGAAACAACAGCAGCAGTGGGTAGAGAGACGCGTCCTCTTTATGACCACTAGATGGCGCCAGACACTCAGTTTTGTCTTCTCTCGTGGAGGAAGAAGGTGGTCCTTGCTTCCAGCAGAGGCATTAAGGTTTGAAATATGAGATGAGGATATTGTTATGAAAGCAGCTGCCATTGTTGAATGCCAACTCTGCGCCACACACTGTGTGGGAATATTTATATCATTTATTCCACATGGTGACTAGCACCAATCCTGGCCTTAGGGATAGACCCTGTTCTTTGAGCAGGGCAAGCAGTAGGCAAGTAAACATATGTCAGGAGATAAACGCTGGGAATAAGCATGAAGAACGGCCAGGGATGGGGAGGAAGGTGCTGTTTTATACCATAGAGTCAGGAAAGCTTTGCTGAGGAGGTGACATTTGACATATTAGTGTTCACCCTGCCATATTGTGGAAGAGGAAACGGAGGCTAAGAAATGTGAAATAAGTTGTCTATCGGATCCTGGAAGTGGAAATGGGCATGGATAGGGTACAAGGGAGACTGGGAGGAGGTTTGCCCAAACCCTCCCATCCCTGCTAAACGGAGAGGCTCTGCAGGACCCTGGTGGGCGTGGGCACCCCTCCCCCACCTCCCGCCCCCACACTGCACTCCTCACCTGTGAGGCAGAAGCACAGCACTCCCAGGGCGATGGCCACGCGCACACCCGTGCCAGGGCTGCCCATCTTCCTCTGAGGCAGCTGACAGCTGGGTTCTCTACAGCAGAAGGCTGCCCCTGCCTGTGAGGAGAGGAAGCCAGGCTTTGTCTCAAAAGGTCTTCCCCAGGCGCTTCTCACCTCATCTCCCCTGGACCAGCTTGGGGCAAAGCTGGCTGCAACTGCCCGCTGGGAGGTACCCTGCCCCCCACATCCCACAAGGCTCCCTGCTGAGGGAATTTTTGAGAGATGCTGGCAGGAAGGACTTGAGTCACTGGGAGGCTAGACCAGGGGAGGTGGCTGGGATCCACCCTTTCAGAACTAAGATGCACATGTAAAGAAGAGGCAAGGTGACAAGTAAAGGCGAGACTGGGGCAAGAATGTGCACAGATCACTTTGGGGAGAAGAGGAGTTGAGGCTGGAGCCAGACTTAGAGGTAGACTAAGAGGTCTGGCCTCTGCCCTGAAGGCAGCTAGGCGCCACCAAAGATTCTGAGACAGGGGAAAGGATATGGTCAGGGCTGTGCTTCATAAAGATTACTCTGACGGCACCTACAGGATAAATGAATGAGAGGAGCTGGACAGAAGAGATGAAGCAGGTCTGGGTGAAAGTGACAGCACTGGACGGTGTGGGGACAGAGAAAGGGAGCAGTCAGGAGTCCACGGTTTTGAGCCCAGTGACCAGGTCGGCTACTCACTGAGAGAGAGAACATGGAAGGGTTCAGTGCAGGGCGTGTGAAGTCGGCAGGGTCTGTGCAGAAACTTTCAAGGACAAGGGCTAGGAGGCAGCTGGGTGTGAGTGTGGGGTCCGAGAAAGAGGGTGTTTGCTACTTCAATAGGTGCAGATTGAGTGACCAAGATGGATCAGAAATGGAAAAGGCCAGGGCTGGGGCTGACCCCCAAGGCTGGAGTCAGAACTGGGTGAGAGAAGGTCTGTGGCCACAGGTCAGACCTCAGTGGGCCCAGGCCTCCCTGGGTCCAGCCCTGCTCCCAATCCTGGCTATGCCCAAGGTGTCTGACTTGGGCAGGCTGCTTGCACCTTTCCCTCGGTCCCACAGCTGCTGCCTGAGTGTTCATGTCACTTCCTGATCAAGCCACATAGCTGGGGTTTATCTATGCTACAAACGCAGAGACCAAAAGTAACCACACAGGATGGTTTGAACATAGACATTCCTAACTAAAAGCAGGTCATAGCCAGTAGTCACATGCTTGGCCTGTAGCTTCCATGACAAAGGTCAATCTTTACCTTAAGTGAACCTGTCTGTTGTCTCTTTGCATCTAAGATAACATACCCTGGGAATGTCAGAGTAATCTTTTCCAGAACCCTCAGGGCACAACCGCACCAGAACATGAGACCATAGAACCCCTCATTGTTATCTTGTTCCCCAATACCACCTCTATGTGCTGTAAATGTTAATTATTAACTATCCTGTAGCCACCAATGTAAAAGAAGTATCCGTCTCTGGTTTACTTTTTATCCAATCCCAGAGTCTTCCCTGCTTTGTTTTCTCCTGCCCCTTTAATCTACTACCACCAATGGATTTCATGTAGCCCTCCTCCCTTGATTCTACTGTATAAAATAAGCTGCAAAACTGCCATTCCTTAGAGCAAAATCTTAATCAGCTGAGAATTTGCTTCCCGGCAACTGTCATTAGTTTGGCTCAAATAAACTCATAAAAATTCTCCACAGGTTTGGATGTTTCTTACGTCCACACAATCCAATACTGACTGACAAGCCTATAAACGAGTCCACATTCTTATAACCGCCCAGGGAGACTACTGGATCCCATCTTGCAGGAGAAAAAATACTAAGGCCCAGATGAGTGAAGTGACATCATAATGTGATGTAATTTGCCAGTCAGCATAGCTGAGAAGGGTTTAGGTTCCCAACCACAACTTTCTGCCCTTTCACGGCGCAAAACTCAACAGCCGTTAGCGTCAAGCCCGGTCACAGGCACCCGGCCTCAACCCTTGCAATCCCAGCCAGGCACCTTCCCCCCACCCCACCCCCTCCACCCAGCAGCTGGCAGGAGGGAGTCCCTCAGCCAAACCAGGTGCATCCTGCCAGCCCCCCTCCCAGCAATCCACAGCGGGGAAGCCCAGAGCAGCCACTTCCTTCCTGACACTTCCAGTCCAAACCTGGTGGCTGCAAAGCCTCATGCCTGCTGAGTCAGCAGCCTCCTGGCTCCATTCATAAAGCTGCCCTTAGCCAGCACCACATCCTGCCTACAGGAGCCACCAGGCCCACAGGAAAAGCTAGGCTGCCGTGCCTGTCTGTCCCCCAAGGAAACACCCAGGACTGAGGATTGAGAAACTCCCAGACTCCACATCTCCCTTCCTCGCTTTTGCCCCCAGACAATTCAGTCCTGTCTGCTTCCTGGGACCCCTCCCTCCTCCTCCCCGAGGCTCAAGCCCGCATCTCCCACTCTGACCTGTGTGGCCAGCTCCCTCTGACCTTCCTACCACCCTCCTCGCTGGCTGGTCTTGCTATCTCCACTCTGTTCCCGCCGCCACCCCCATTCTCTACAGCCCTTCCTCTTAGGACCCAAGACAGGAATCCTCCCCTCTGCTCAAGAACCTCCCATGGCTCCCCATTTCCTACCCAAGTTAACCCACAGTCCCCTGACCTGCACTCAAGACCTTTCTTACGACTGTCTCCTCCACACACCAAGCTAATTCCTGCCACTGGGGTTTTACTCTCCAGGGTCTCCTGGGAATACCTGCCAGCTTCTGTGAATGTGGAAGATCAGGGAGCCCCTCTGACCCAATCAGACCTATCAGGGCCCCCCAAGGGCTGAGCTGTCCTCTCCAGTGGGAGCATGAAGGGGGTGTCGGGCTTCCTCCCTTTGACTCCTTTCCTAAACTCTGGACCCAGGAAAGTTCCCACCTTCATGGCTTACCCTGGAAAGAAGCCTGACAGTCCAGGACCATGGAGACCTAGTAATTCCACAGCAGCTGAGCCCCCAAGAGCAGAGGGCGGAAGGAAGAAATATATCTGGGAGAGGAGGTGTAGCTCAGGGAATGGGACATGGCCCAGGAACAGAAAGCCAATCACTGCCCATGGGGACATGGGGACAGAGATGCACAGATCTCATGCTGTATTCACACCACCCACCAGCCTTTCCTACAAAGGGGAATTCTCATCCTCAGGCGGGACCTGCGCAGCAGCCAGCCCTCCCTCCCTCTTGCCCAGTCCAATCAAATGTAGCAACTCCAAGGAGCCCTGCCAGGAGAAGCCAGGGTGCCTAGGCTTGCCCAGAGATACAGGAGTGAGGGGCCCAGGCCACCTTCAGCCTGAGGGTGCAGCAGGCGCGTCCTCCCGCGGCACAGGTGGGGCCACAGGGGAGCTCCTGAGAAATAAGCCAAGATGTGCCCCGTAAAGCCCAAACCAAAATGCAGGACTGAGACTGGGCTTTATACCAAGATGTCCTGGACCTGGGGGTACCCAAGAGGGACTCCTGGCTCCCACCATGTTCACCAGCAGAACCCCTCATTCTCCTACCGCCTCCAATCCCTGCAGGGGCTGCTTGGGCAACACTTCCCACAAATAGGGTGAGAAAGGTCAGGCACATAACCAGGGTCAATCTACGCTAACGAGCACAGCACAGAAGCACCACTTCTGAAAACAGCAGGTAAGCCCCTGGCTCCAGCCATGCCTGAAGTAGTCTGTACACCTACACTGCCCATGGACTTGAGCCAATCTGGTTTTTTTTCTTAAGCCAGTTTGAGCTGTTTCTATTACCTGCAAATGAAGAAGTCCTTGAATATACACCCAGTCATGTATTCAGTAACTCATTTAACTATTTGGCAGGTACTGGGGACAGGGAGATGACTAAAATCAAGAAGAAGGTGGACATGCACATAAATCGCTGCAGTTCAGTAGAGTGTACTATTTAAGATGCAGTGAGGTTACTTGGAGGCATCTCGGAGACACGGTAACCTTAAAGGTGAGTCCTGAAAAATGATTAGCATTCCCCAGGTAGACAGACTGGGAAAGGTGACGCCTCTTTAGCCCCAAGGGACCCTCCTGGCACTGCCTATCTGCCTCTCAGCCAGCTCTCTTTGAAAAGGCAGAAAGTGAGCCCAAAATTTGAGGTGCTAGTCCTAGCTCTGACACTTTGCTGTGCAATCCTAACAGGTGACTTCACCTCTCTGAGCTCAATGTTCCCACCTATAAAAGAAGAGCTTTGCTGGACGCCAGGAGAACTTCATTAGTATGTTAAGCCTTTGTGTACTGTATCCCTAAGGCCTAGCCAGTTAGCTGCCACACAAGTTAGAGAAATACACAAAGCCACTGTGACAGAAACCACCATTTTCCCCCTTACACCTAATCTCTTCTGTAGAATTTTTAGTTAGGTGCATGGCCACTCAGCCAAGACTACAGATCCCAGCCTGCCTTGCAGCTGGGTATGGCCATGTGACCATTTTCTGGCTAACAAGATGTAAGAGGAACTGATATGTACAATTCTGGCTCATGCCTTTAAAGAGAGGGCACATACCCTCTCTTTTCTTTCCCCCTTCCCACTGGCTGGAATACAGATGTGGGGAGCCATCTGGAACCATGCTGCTAAAGGCAGCACCCTGGGGACTGCAGAGCGGCATGACAGAAGGCCCCTGAGAGGCTGCAGTGTCAGTCCTGGGCATACCCGGACTGTCACATGGGTGAGAAATAGGCACCTATTCGAGCTTAAGTCCCTGTTATTTTGGGTCTTTCTTACAGCACCTGATGTGACTAATTCAGGAAGCCGTCTTTCCCTTACTTTCCTTCCTTCTCTCCCCACTCTTCTCACCCCATGAAAACGGCCACTGCTCAGAGCAGCAAAAGAAACATCTAAAACAGGTATTTCAAAATATGAACTGGACACTATCTTATCAGAGTCACTTAGTGATGCCTGGCCCAGATCCAGAGATATGTCAAGGGTAGACGTGATGGGTTTAGGATTATTTGTATGGGAGGGAGGGGCTGAAAGAGTCAAGGTTGTACTGATGGATTGAACAAACGGGTGCATGTGGGCATACATATAAGATGGGGAGACCCGGAAACGAAGCATGTTTGGGGGGAGGCACAGTTCCCACTGGGCTTGA